GGGGGGACAGGTTATCCTGACATTCTTGTGATTCATTTAAGAAATATTTATGATTTCCAGATCTGCTTCTATATTTACTCTCAGAATGCTTGTCTGCAAAGAACAAAACCCTAGTTTGAATGATCTATTTTGGAAGACACCAAGGGTGTTTGGAAGAGAAAGAGGATTGACTGATCATGACTGAGCCATGTGTATAAGTTGATGAGTAGGAAGAGAAAGTGGGCCAGAAAAGAGACGAGAAAGGTAGGCATGCAGAGAAAAGCAGACAAAAAAAAAAAAAAAAAAACAACCAAAAAACAAAACTCCTCAGCTTTACCTTTTACAACTTCAACAAACGAAGCTAAACAGTAGGACACCTGACATGTTGCCAAGAAAGTGACTAAAACTCTATCCTAAAGAGTGGGGACAGAAGTCTCATGGTAGGAAAGAGATGGGAGGTATGAATTTCCAGGCCCAGAAAAATATTTAACGTATTAAAAGTTTCCAGTAAGGACTTTGGGATGGATTGACAATAGATAGATCTTACCAGTCCATAGTAAATACACTACGGCAGAGATTGCTCCTTGTCTTCCCAACAGTTATGTTTTTCCCTTCTTCTTTTTTGGCAATTTCATCTGGGCCTGGACAAAGAGATTACCTCTCCCGGCCTCAGTTGCAGTGAGATGTAGCCGTATGACTGAGTTCTGACCAATGAGATGCAAGTAGAAATGACGTGGGCATCTTCAGGTCACAGCTTTAAAGGGAACCAGCTTGCTCTCCACTGCAGATGTCCCTGCACAACTGATATGCAGATGAGGACAACACAGTGGATGGTGCAGCAACAAGAGAAAAGGAAGCTGGGTCCCTGGATGATCTCAGGGGACATAGGCACCACACTCCCTGGACCTGCTACAAGTCTAGGCTCTCGTGTGAAAGAGAAATAAGCCTGTCTTGTTTCTTGTTGTTATTTGGTCTTGGTTAAAATAGCTGGTTAAATTCCTGGCATGTTTCCATCCCTCAGGTATGGCTGGAAGCACAAGGGGTAAATATCAAATTTATTATGTTGTAACAACCACTGGAGTAGGACTGACTTGAGTTGCAGGCAGCTATCCATATCACCAGAAATTTCTTGAATTGTTTAAAATGAGCATTTATTATTTAATAGAAATAGCCACTAGGGGCTCCTTGGTTGCTCTGTCGGTCAAGCATCAGACTTTGGCTCAGGTCATGGTCTCACAGTTCGTGAGTTTGAGCCCCACACTGGGCTGTGTGCTGACAGCATGAAGCCTGCTTTGGATCTTCTGTCCTCCCCTCTCTGACCCTTCCTGGCTTGCATGTGCATGCGCACACTCTCTCTCTCTCTCTCAAAAATAAACATTTAAAAAACAGCCACTATTACAAAAAATTAAAAACTATTTTACTCTCTTGTACACTCCTTCTATACTCATGTATTCTAGCACTCTCTTCAGTTATATCTCATTTATATTCTTTTATCACAGAAATAATTAAATCAGACACAAAGATAATAATATTGAGAGTAAAGTAAAAAACTATAGATATGAATGAGAAAACTATGGAGGATATTTTGTTTCTGCAGAAATTTCACACTTAATTACATGGTTGGTTTGGTTTTTCAAATTATACATAAACATTGATTTTCCCCTTGATTTTAATAAAATACTGCCATAGGAAATTTCCCTTTCAATGTGAAATAGGAGAATTCTACTTTAGGTCATCTGGAAGACAGTTGAAAAACAGATCTTGCATCACTGAGATTTGATTTTGCCAGATCTTCATGTTAACTTTGTGAAAGTTTTCTTTAAGACTTTAAATTTCAGAGGGATTATTATACAAAATTTATTTGAGGATTACATCTAACTTATGTCACATTTTCAATATATTTAAATAAGGAACTTGCAAAAAAAATTTTTTACTGTTTACTTATTTTTTAGAGAGGGAGAGAGAGTGTGAGCAGGGGAGGGGCAGAGAGAGAGGAGACACAGAATCAGAAGCAGGCTCCAGGCTCTGAGATGTCAGCACAGAGTCCCCCCACACGGGGCTTGAACTCACCAACCGTGAGATCATGATCCGAGCCGAACTCAGATACTTAACTGACTGAGCCACCCAGGTGCCCCTAAATAAGGAACATTTTATTGCAGGTTATATTTCTGAATTTAAAGCTGCAACACATGACTTGAATCATGTTCTTTAAATTAGAAAGAGAGAGTAAAGGAAGAGATTAAAACTGAAAGGGCACTGGGGCTCCTAGATGGCTCAGTCGGTTAAGTGTCCAACTCTTGATTCGGCTCAGGTCATGATCTCCAGTTCATGCCCGGAGTTGAGCTCAAGCCCTGAGTCGGGCTCCACGCTGACAGTGTGGAGCCTGCTTGGGTTTCTCTCTCTCCCTCTCTGCCCCTTGCCTGCTCTCTCTCTCTCTCAAAATAAATAAATAAACTTTAATAAAAAATTGAAGGGACATGGAAATTACAGTTTCTACAGTTTTTTCTCTTTTCACTGATGACAGAATCATAAGTGATTCTTATAAATCCATTAACAACTATAATTATTTTCCTTTTGGAAATAGCCACTATGTGAAGAAAACAAACATCACTGAACACTTGCTGGGCAATGTTTAATGATATATTGTAAGTGAAAAATACTGGGCATGGATTTTCATGTACCTGAATAATCCTGCAATTTAAGGAAACTGAATCTTACTTATTACCATTTTTGATATCCATGACTGTCGTTTTCTTACCATCCACGTCTTCGTCAAATTTACATGAATTTCTTTTTGGAATCACTACAAAATCTGTTGAATCTACGATAGGATTTTCTCCAAAAAAATCACCAGTCAGCGTGACTTCCACTTCCTCTTCTACCCGCTTCCTGGACTGACATTTTATAACAACTACAGGAGAGAAATATTTCCAGTTGAGATGGAAGAAAATGAATTATGTCATGAAAAATATCCTTTAGCATACTTTGACTTACTGTGTCTGGCATTAATACACACACACACACACACACACACACACACACACACACACACACCACACAGTCAGGCAATATGTATATACATTGACATTTTAGAAGCAAATAAGAATATTAAATAATATATAAAAATAGTATGACAAGAGGCTAATCTGGAAGGTACACACTGCATTTCAGAAGAGTATATTAGGATGTAAAATTTGATTCAGGAACTGACCTAGTTATGTCAGTAATTCAACTGGTGGTCATGAACACATGAATTTTTCAGCTATCTGTATGTTCATTGTGGTAATTACCAAACTCTACTTATAAAATTATATTACAGTAAACACCTTCAAATCATTTTTAAAAATAAGTTCTGTAACATTTATTTTGTAATAACACTTTAAAAAGATTTCCTACTATTTATTCACTTGTACCTTAAAATTCATGTTTAAATCATTTCGGTAAAATATTTTGATTCTCATTTGTGAATTGCTTTGCATTTACAAAATACACTAATGGGGCGCTTGGCTGGTTCAGTAAGTAGAGCATGCAACTCTCGGTCTCAGGTTTGTGAGTTCAAGCCCCATGTTGGGTGTAGAGATTGCTTAAAAATAAAATCTTTACAAAAAATACACTAACAGTTAAAAATAAAATTTTAATGAAGTACTTAAAATTAATGTTAAAATTTAATTACATATTAATTTAACATATAGCATTAAAACTTTATATATTTTTAAATAAATTAAATTTCAATGTTTTCTTATATCAAGTATAGAAGAAGTTGTCAGTGATCTTGTGAGAAACCAAAATGTTGTTTCTATGTACAACTACTCATTACACATCGGAGTATTAATGTATTCCTTTGGCATTAGCTCTATAATATCATGGGGCCAAGTATACTAGAGTCCACATGTGGGAAATCAAATAGCTGTGTCCTGGGTTAGGAGATTATAGGGAATACATTGCAAGGCAGAACACTGCTTTCTGGCCTTGCTGAAAACAGCAGCCATGCCTTGCTTACCTGGTTAATGTGTATCTAGGGGTTAGGTCCTGCCTATGCTCATAAATTCCTTAGGCCATGTTATCGCATGGAATATTTTACCCCGTCTTAACTTGTTTTTCTGATATTTTCTATATGTTCTTACTGGCACGTAGCCCACCGACATATTGCTGATTGTTTCCCTAAATGTATGCTCAATAAATACGGGAGCTTGGCACACTTGGGTGGTTCAGTCAGTGAAGCATCTGACTTAGGCTCAGGTCCTGATCTCACAGTTCATGAGTTTGAGCCCCACGTCTACACGTTGGGCTCTGGGCTGTCAACTCAGAGTCTAGAGCCTGCTTTGCATTCTGTGTCTCCCTCTCTGTCCTTCCTCTGCTTGAGCACTCTCTCTCTCTCTAAAGTAAATAAACATTAAATAAATAAATAAATAAATAAATAAATAAATAAATAAATAAATAAGGAGCTTGAGAGCAGCTTGGGGAGACTTCCCTCTGCCTCCCTCTCACCTCTCTTGACTTGTACGGAGTCTTGAGTAATCCTTTCTGCCATCCTGGGCTTGGGGACAAAGCCAAAAGCTGAACCCACATCCACATAAATAAAAATATTGTTTCTCAAAAATATATTAACTGTTATATTTTTATCACTTCAGATGCACATAAAACATAAATTTAATATAAGGGATAAAAGGGAATGATAATATAAAAAAGCCTATTTATTAAAAAAGGTTTATTTATTTTGAGAGAGAGAGTGAGCAGGGGACGAGTAAAGAGGGAATCCCAAGCAGGCTCAGCACTGACATTGCAGAGCCTGATGCGGGGTTCAAACTCACAAATTGTAAGATCATGACCAGACCGAAATCAAGAGTCAGACGCTTAACCAACTGAGCCACCCAGGTACCCCCAAAAAAGCTTTTAAAATGTATTGCACTATACTGTGTGGCACCAATAATACTACAATCATCTAAACTGTACAACTAGATAATGTCCTCCAATTTATGTGTTTTCACTATACATATCACATTTATAGTACAAAAATATATAACATCAATTTATTTTTAATTCTAAAATTTGCAGGTTGGTATTGAACATTTTGGACTTAGAATAAGTAGTGAAATACAAGATGTGGATTAAGAGGGTTGACATGACTGAGGGAAATGTACAAGCTTCTTTGGTTTTAATTAGCTTCAGTCTTAAAGCATTAAATTGGAAATTAGTGTGATCAAAGTTACAATTAGTATCATGTCACTGGTCTTGTCCCTCTAAGTCCTTTGGAAATTAGTGCCCTGGCAATGCACGGATTTCTCAATCACAGTGGATTCACATTCCATTGTCTTCACACTGTGACAGTAGTGGAGTCCTTTTCCAATTATCTGTCCCAAAGGATAGGAGCAGATAGGAATACACACACAAAAAAGGTGGCTCAGAGAATGACAAAAGTACCCTGGGTTTAAGAATAACCTGAATGACAGACACATAAAAACAGAGGAGAAACAATAAACATCGATGGTGATACAGCTGAGCAGAGAAAGCAATGTGTTATCTCTGATGTGTTCATAAGAATGAAGGATGGACTGTACAGAAAGGAAGCAATATGTATTTATATAATTGTACTCATTTTTTCTTCTCAAGGGCATTTGTAGATAAAAATAATTACTAGAATAGGCTTTAGAATTCTGCTAAAATGATTTAATAACTGGTATACAATCTGTTTCAGAACACTGATGTTACTACGGGGTTGTGCTAACGCGACACAGACTATTTATAGAACTCATACTTAATTTAAAAATCAAGTAATTACCAAGAGAAGTGATTTGATGGAAAATGCCTTTCTGTTTTTGCAGCATGCTTAACTTTCTTTGAAGAAAACTGTGCAAGAAATTTATGCCTTTATGTTTGCATAGGCTTTGTTTCAGGCTGAAAGAAAAAAGCCTGCTTTAAAGCTTTAATCTGGGAAAAACAAAACTGTGTCTGCCATCAACATCAGCAACGCTGCTCTTAGTATTTCAACAGAGTAATGTCTAGGCTTTATTACATCACTTTGATCAGATGACTGCATCATAAATTTTGAACGGTTCAGCTCTATGGAAAGTATACAAACAATTTTCTTCTAGAAGGAAATAAAAGAAATGTTTTGGCATGTTTGTGAAGCAGTCAGAAGATAATTTAGTATATTTGAAACATTTATGTGTTGATAATTTTTTAACTCAAGAGCAAAAATACTTCAAGTAAAACAAATGACATTTACTGTCAAAGGTACTGCTAGATATGTGGATTTTTACTCCCGTTGAAATTAAACGACACAAGGAAATATGTAACCTTGGCCTTCAATGTATCCAGGGAAACGCTATTATCCACAAGCAAAAGTTAGTATTTTCTCTTCTTTCTCAGTGTGGTGACATAATATATGCCAGCAGAAGACTAACTCTATTTCACTACCAAAGGTTGGTATCAGAAGGAGCAGAAAAATTCAAAATTTCAAGACTGCTTTCAGCTCATCTGTGTTGGTTGAGTGGGGGGGCTCCAAAACAGATACCCCTTGCGCTGTTGAGCAATTCAGCAATCGTTAGTTATGAAGAACTATGCCTAAGGCCTAGTAAGAGGTTGCTTTATGGATATCCAAGAGGAATTGCATTTCTTAGGCTGACTGTGGGAAGAAAATGAGAAAACCTAGGAATGCAGAAGTGAGAAGAGTATTGAGGAAAGAGAACACAAGGAAGCTTGAGAGAAGTTTGGAGTATGTGGAGAAAAAGAGGGCTCACTGAGAAAGAGAAAGGCCTTTTAAGGGGAGGGATTTTATGTTGTGTATATGGTAGTGAAGTGAACCTCCTAGAAACCCTGAGTACATTCTGACCGGTTTTTGGAGGACATCGTACAAGTTTAGTGTCTGGGACAACTGAGAATAGAGGGATCAGTGTCCCCATTGGATGGTTCTTGGATGAGACTTCAAGTTGCACAGAAGCTGGAATCTGGCAAAAAAATGTGACCCAAGAACCAAAGTACCTGAGGATCGGATAGATCTAGAGCAGGGCTCCAGGGGCCTCACGACTGTGGGCTACAGGGGCCTGAAGATAATGTTATTGCAATCTTAGCTGATTTCTGGGTTTCACCAACTGGAAGAACAACAGGACATGGTATGGTTTGGTGGAAGGATCGTTGGACTTACTGTGAGGAGACCAGAATCGGTCCCAGCGCTCCCATCAGTAGGGCTGTTCAGTTCACGACTTTCTTTGCACCTTCATTCTCTCACTTGTATAAGAAGGGGGTGGGAATAAGGGAACCTCTATGATCGATCCCTTTGAATCCTGGTATTCCCGGATTCTAAAATATACCTACCTGGAGGGCATTTAGGATATAGTGCCTGTGGGAGTCCAAGAATAGGGTATATCCAGTGTATTTCTGGGATTTCTCTACTTGCTGTTCCCATTGTTCTAATGAGAAATTAAACGAGGAAGAGTGAACAAAAACTATGAACACTTTGAATACTAGCATAAAAGAGAATATTCATTTTTAACCTAATGGTATTTTAGCAGAGCTCATGAATTTAAACTTCGGTAGAGAAAAACTATGAAATACAAATCATTTTCTGCAAATGTTATAAACATGTCAAAGCAAACCCTGGGAAATTATCACAAAGAAAAATGTAACACAACCATCATGAGATGGAAGTTAAAATTGAAGAACTTTCCCCCTACTTTTAAAAGTCAGTATTGGCATTTACTGATGTGACTAAAACATGATTTATCAGAGGTAACACAGGTCCTGTGGGTTGTATTCTAAATTGCACAGGTGAGGCATAAAACACAAAAATGCCATTGAGTACAGGACTTCAGAAGGTGACAAGGAATTTACTTTTGGGGGGATATCAGCTAAACGAAAGAGGGCATTTGCCAAAACCATCAAGATGACAACAGTACTAGGACATGGTTCTGGTCATTGCTGAAATGGGCTTTTCTTGTCAGAAATGAAACATAAGACACAGCAGGCAGGACCAGCTGCATCAGCATGTGACCTGTGCAACAAATAGCACGAGGACCCCATGTTTAGAATTGGTCCATGCGTGTTTAACACATAGCGATAAGTGCTTTGAAATTCTTAACCATTTTGAACAAAGGCCCCCACATTTTCATTTTACATTGGGATCCACAAATAGACAGGCAGTCCTGACTGTAGGAATGGTAAAAATTGTGGCAGAATGGACACTAATGGGTTCACAGGAAAGAATTTTCTTTTAATGTTTATTTTTGAGAGAGAGAGAGAGAGTACACATACATGCAAGCAGGGGAGGGGCAGAGAAAGAGGAGGATAGAGGATGGGAAGTGGGCTCTGTGCTGACAGGAGAGAACCCGACACGGGGTTCGAACTCATGAACTGTGAGATCATGACTTGAGCTGAATGAAGCCAGACACTTAACCAACTGAGCCATCCAGGCACCCCAAGAATTTTTTTAAATGTGGAAAAGAGGGGCGCCTGGGTGGCTCAGTCGGTTAAGCGTCCAATTCTTAAGTTTGACTCATGTCATGATCTCACAGTTTGTGAGTTAGAGCCCCACACTAGGCTCTGTGCTGACAGCATGGAGCCAGCTTGGGATTCTCTGTCTCTCTCTCCCTCTCTTTCTCTCTCTCTCCCTCTCTCTCTCTCCCTCTCTCTCTCTCTCTCTGCACCTCCCCCATTCGTGCTCTCCCTCTCTCTCAAAATAAATAAATAAAACTTTAAAAAAATATGGAAAAGAAATAGGCACCCATAGGAAGAATTTTGTTTTAATTAAGATTTCTAGATTGTTATTTAATTAAACTATAAAAGCAGAGAAAACATAGTTTGATCATTATTGGAGTTTGCTTAAAATTCAGTGAAGCAAAGAAGGGACAGGCGGCCCGCATCCTGCAAGGACACAGTATGGCAGTAGTCAGGCCAGTGTTTGCTCAGGGTGTCATACCTCCTGGCACAGTGCCATCACTTGGTAAATGCCAGTATCACAAGTCCTATAGTTGGCCAAGACCAGCTATTTCAGGTTGTTCTCTAGAGATTTATTATTTGTCGTCTCAGCAGTAACTGTTTTCCCAGTCAAAAAGGAGTCCTTTGCACGTCTCTGTGATTCACTGACATGATACTTAAGGTTGACTTTTTCATCACCCTGAACTTCAAATCACTCTGAACGTCAAGTGATATATACTATGCCCATATAACAAATGTATTTTCCTCTTCCGAACATACAAATTTCAACACTTCAGAGAATTTAAAATCATGGACTTTACGTTACATAACACAGAAAAGAAAGTGATCATGTCAATGCCAATCAAAATAAAATCATTTTCCTTAAATGTTCTTATTTAAAAGTTACCTTTTGGGGGCACCTGGATGGCTCAGTTGGTTAAGCATCCGACTTCAGCTCAGATCATGATCTCCCAGCTCGTGAGCTCAAGCCCCACATCAGGCTCGCTGCTGTTAGTGCAGAGCCCACTGGGATCCTCTGTTTCCCTCTCTTTCTGCCCCTCTCCCACTTGTGCACTCTCTCTCAAAAATAAATAAAACACTTAAAAATAAATATATATAAGTTACCTTTTCATTTCTGTGTCTAATTCTTCAAAATTGTCAATAGGCCAACTTTCTCTATTTGCCCTCATCATTTGAACAATGACCATTGTTCTGTGTAATTTCATAGTGTTGGGCATAAATAACACTGGGATATCTATATTCTCTTTAGGAGGCAATGTGATTCCTGTAAAAAACACAATTAATTTTTAATGTGGTAAACATTTTCAGAGTATAATTTTAACAGCAGAAAATAATCTCCTAATTCTTTTACTGGTTATCAGTTTTTCATAATCACTTCAGAACAAGAAAATGCATTATGCTAAATTATAAGGGCACTTCACTGGCTTCACTAATTTTCCTCAAATGCCATCAATGCTATTAAAAAAACACATTTTAACCTGAGGCAAGAAGCCTCTCCTGAAGAGGCTGGAAGGGATGAGGAAATGTTGAGAATTCTGGCTTGTGTTTCCCAGAGTGATAAAAGAACCATAAAACCCATGAGTCTTTTCAAGTCTTACTACATTTTCCAAAAGCCAAAGTACTGCAATTTTTGACACTTTAATTTCTTGTCTTTTTTTTTTTTTTTTCTAGACCATAACAGTGCCAGGTTTCTGCTTGGAGCACCAAAATTGTTACCAGCAACCTGTTCATTTGTTTACTTGATCCATGAGGGAAGCTGAAGCTTATTTGTGAAAGAAAGGCCAGGTTGTAAAAACCAGAAGACAGAAACACCGACAGCATTTTCTTGTGTTCTAATGGATTCGACTTTTTCAACCTTTACTCTGCATAAGAAACACCTGCAAAACTTGTAAGATATGAGCTTACTAAGCCCCAACTGTATATTCTGATTTATTCAGACTGGGCTGGGGCCCAAAAGCTCCATGTGTAAGTAGCTCCTCACAGGATCCAGAAGCAGATGGTCATGTGACCACACTTGGAAAAAAACATGCACATCCTACCTATTGGACAAGTACTGGGATGTCCTCCTTTATTTTGAAGAATAACACTATTTCTTTATAAGAAAATAAAAGATTAGTGACTACATCCTGTTTTTTTAAAATTCTTTGTTATAAAATCAATGATTTTCAGCCATTTTGTCTCAGATGAAAACACTGCACTAAACTACTAAAGACATCAAGAAAGGAAACATAAAATGGCCCCTCCGCAAAACATCCCGCCTCCAAATTCTTACAAATTTTTCTTTTCTTTTCTTTTCTTTTCTTTTCTTTTCTTTTCTTTTCTTTTCTTTTCTCTTCTTTTCTTTTATTTATTTTTAATGTTTATTTACTTTTGAGACAGAGACAGAGCGTGAGCAGG